ATATATATATGTATATATATTATTTGGTTTCCGTTGGCTGATACGTTGAGTCGATGATCTACATTGTGCACATGTTGCGTAGTTCCTTTCCTCACATACCAAGTCATCCCAATGGCACTCAGGTCCACAGTATACACCATCCTATCACGTAACCCCTCTATTTACCCACACGTTTGGTTACAGGCGTGTTATCGCTTCAGTCGTGTGTGTGCACATCTGCGTCGACCGCTGACCAACTACTGCGACGAGATCATTGATTCGCTACTGCCGCTCATGGCACCTGACCTGCCCACCCTCTCATCCAGTCCCAATCAACAGAAAGGTAGGTGCAATGGGGGAACCCTAATACCCTACATCCTAAAACCCTATAACCCTAAAATGTATGCAAGGTTCTGTGTGTGTGGCGGTGTATATCAGCACCCAAGAAGAGCGTGTTGGTGACACGTGGAGGGATATACATAGTTTATGCGATACAACCTCTGTACCGGTCCTAACTAGCGGAAAGTAGGTACAATAGCACATGCTCAAGCTCTGTACCGGTCTTAACCAGCGGAAATTAGGTGCAATAGCACATGCTCCAGGGCATGCATTATATGGTGTAGTTGTGACATAGCAGTGTATTTATATCCATTCGGGGTGGGCTGAGACTCTCACCGCAATATCCAATCCAGAACGTTGTTCTATTTTTAGTGACGAATGATACGAAGCAGCAAACATACACATTCAACTAGATGCGAAACAGTACGATTTGGTACACACTGTACGTGTAATTTATGTGTTGCTAGACATATATTTCTGTATGCTACAAACATCTACCAACGGACGTAGTTTTAACCAGATCCACACATCCACACATCCATGTGTTGCATACATACCTCTACGCCTTCTCCACGCACGCTACCAACATCTACCCACGCACATCGGCCTGACCCTCACACACCACACACCACACATCCCACACCCCGGCCACTCGCCACATCACAGCAAAACTGGGACAGAGTGACAAGTGCTGGCTATACGAGGGAGCCGCGGTGTTGGTTTACGCACTCAAAACAAATGACGAAACACTGCGCATGCTCAACAAACTGTGCCAGCCGCTGCTCTCTGTGTGCTCAGAGATCATGCAAGGCCAACTGTAAGTGACCATGCTTGTATGTGTATAGGCACTGTGTGGATTGTTAGTGTTGGTGTTAGTGTTATGTGGTGTGGTTGTGCTATAGTCCTAGTGCACGGGTGCTTGTATGTGTATAGGCACTGTGTGGATTGTTAGTGTTGGTGTTAGTGTTATGTGGTGTGGTTGTGTATAGTCCTAGTGCACGGGTGCTTGTATGTGTATAGGCACTGTGTGGATTGTTAGTGTTAGTGCTATGTGATGTGGTTAGATTGTCAGTGTTAGTGTTACGTGGTGTGGTTGTGCTATAGTCCTAGTGCACGGGTACTTATATATGTGTGTACAGGCACTCTGTTGATTGTTGGTGTTAGTGTTATGTGATGTGGTTATATTTGGTGTGATTGTGCTAGAGTCCTAGTGCACGGGTACTTATATATGTGTGTACAGGCACTCTGTTGATTGTTAGTGTTAGTGTTATGTGATGTGGTTATATTTGGTGTGATTGTGCTAGTCCTAGTGCACGGGTACTTATATGTGTGTGTATAGGAATTCTGTTGATTGTTAGTGTTATGTGGTGTGGTTGTGCTATAGTCCTTGTAGACGGGTAACTTTACGTGTACCTTACCTGCACTACACATTCTCCGTGTGCTTAGAGGCTATACATAGGCAAAGGTAGACCGTCGTCGTTGACTTTGTATTTGAGTATCCAATCCTTCTCTCTCTGATTTAAACCACTGAGTTGGTGCGTGACGCGGAGTCTCTATCTGTGTGTGTGTGCACAGTCCGGCTGCCTGTGCTCTTTACACGTTACTCGTATTATATTTTACACTCAGTGAAGCTCATGCCATGTGATGAATGGCAGCAGTTGTCTGCATGTAAATTCTAAACCCTAAAACTCTAGAGCATAAACCCTAGAACCCTGTGCATTTCGCGCAACAATTGGCAATAGCCTCTAACACGCTCCTGAGCCTCAATCTCAACGTTCGCCAACTGCTCTATTCCAATCTCATTCAGACCCACATACAAGACCCACAAATTTTGCATCTACTACCATTCACATGTACTCATAACTCACAGACCCACATATCATATGCATTGACCATAGTTTCCCATCTACTACCATTCACACATATCATAACTCACAGACCCACACATCATGTGCATTGCGTCTTATCATATACATTCCCTGGATTTCCTCACCCCCCGCTCCCACCCCATCCCACCACCAACAGATACAACAACGAATCCGAAAAGGCGCCCGTGTACTCGCAGATTCTGTTGGACACCGTTGAGACGTTAACGCGTGTGGCCAAGTCCGCGACCAAAAACTCGGGCAGTGGGGCGTTCTGGGTGGCGGCGTATGAGCTGTTCCAACCTGTGTGCACGCTGTCTCACTTACAACCCAAGCTCAGGAAGGAGCTTATTAAGTTTAGTCACAGGCATGTGTGTGTGTATGTCGGTGGAAGTCTTGTTGTAGTGTGTCAGGCAAATGTGTGTGTGTATGTCAGTAGAAGTCTTGTTGTAGTGTGTCACAGGCACGTGTGTGTATATATGAGGTGTTAGTATACCATGGGTGGTTGTGGATCGTTGCAGCAGTGGGTGTTATGAGTAGATAGTGTCTGTATTGTGAGGTGTGGTGCTTAGTCATAGGCATGTGTGTGTGAATGTCAGTGTGAGGTGTATGTTTGTTGTGGATCGATGCAGCGTCGGGGTTGTGTAGGTAGGTGGTGTAGGTAGATAGTGACTGCATTGTTTTAGGGTTCTAGGGTTCTAGGGGCTCATATATCTTCTATTCTAATATCAGTACCGTACCAATAGTGTTTTGCTCTCATACGGTTTCTCACCGGTGTGTGTTCAACTCTGTGCTTCCGTTGCATGGTACTCATAGTTTCAAGTCCCCTATCTCGGATTAGGTTTTCTCATTCGTCGTGTTAACTAGTATATTAATGACCATGTCCTGTCTGTACAGGCTCGTAGCGTCGATTGAGGAGCAAATTCTGCCAGAGATTCCGGCCACTCTATCACTGCTACTGCAAACAGACAATCCAGAAGTCATTGGAGAGAGTTTGACACTGCTCACACAACTGATGCTGACCTTCAAGGGTGTGTGTGTGTGTGTGTGTGTGTGTGTGTGTGTGTGTGTGTGTGTGTGTGTGTGTGTGTGTGTGTGTGTGTGTGTGTGTGTGTGTGTGTGTGTGTGTGTGTGTGTGTACGTGTGT